TAGATAGATATATAATGTCATGGTATATATTGAGCATGCTTTAAGATATTTATAGTGCTTTATATTGTCTTTTTATTTTTAACTATATTGTGACGATGTCTATGGTGGATACAGTCATGACAATACACTATTTATTTGTTTTTACTAAATGTTACTTTTATGAAGGAAGTTTATCATCTCATAATTTTTTTTGTCCATCTTTCACTTGTAATTTAATTACATCTCATGTAGGGCCCTGTGTTTAAAGTCCTTATTTAACATTTGAAATGGAAAAAGCACTCAGTGAATAGAATGAACATTTTTCCTCTACCATTCTTGAGTCCAAACCTTTTGTTGCTCTCTGTTTAACTTCTGCCATATTGTTTCATGGCCCATTCTAATCCTTTTAAGGAACGACACATGGATTTAGAATCTTTTGCTCTTTTGTCTTGTCCCTTTAGGATTTTAGCCGTTGTCAGCCTCTGTCAGCTCTTTTATCAGGACAGACATGCGGGCATCGTGATGGACTGCTATCTCACTCTCATCCTATCTGACTATACAAAACCAATGCACTTCTCGCCTCTTAAGATAAAGAATGAATGAGTCACGATGATTTACATTTCATTCTCTAATGAGAGACATCCATCAGTAATATGCAGTGCATTACTGTAAGTAGAATCATGGATGTATGCACTACTGGTGTAAAATTTGCGGTCAATAAGGTTTAATAATAAAATAAAATGTTTGTCACAGCCATATCACCCTGCAGCCCAAGACCGGTTACTCTCTGAAGCTAAGCAGGACTGAGCCTGGTTCAGTACCTGGATGGGAGAGCACATGGGAAAACTAGGTACTTTTGGAAGTAGTGTTAGTGAGGCCAGCAGGGGGTGCTCAACCTGCGGTACTCAACCTGCAGTCCTAATGCCCCAGTAAAAGTGAAGGGGACACTGTACTATCAGTGGGAATCGTCTTTTGGATGAGACATTGAACCGAGGTCCTAACTCTCTGTGGTCATTAAAAATCCCTCGGCACTTATTGTAAGGAGTAGGGGTGTAACCCTGATGTCCTGGCCAAATTTCCTTTCGGGCTACCAATCATGCCTATCTTCTGAATTGGCTCTATCACTGTCTCTCCACTGCACCAATAGCTGGTGTGTGGTGAGCGCATTGGTGCCGTTGTCCTGTGGCTGCCGTTGCATCCTCCAAGTGGATGGTGCACACTGGTGGTAGTGTGGAGTAGAGGTCTGCATTCCCGCTGTATCGCGGGAGCCGCATGACCCAATCAGATTTCTTGCTGCGTGGGAATACATTTCCGAATAAAACGTGGGAGCGTTTGGTAACTGGTGTAATTTTGAATGGGAGCGGGCGGTCTAACAATATCGCTCCCGACTCCTGAGCGAGTGAGCACACGTATATGCATGTGTGAATAAGAGAGCGTGATGCTGTGTTTAGCTTGTTTGTTTCTCTCTGCATGCGTGTGTGCGTTATCCTCCTCCGCCCGTTAGTGGGAACTGGTGCGGTAGGTAGAAAACGAAGCAGGTCGGGCAGCAGGACAACAAATGCTGAATCTAAGTGGGAGCGTTCGGGTTCAGACTAAAACCTGGCGGGAGCACAAAGAAAAACAAAAAAAAGCTGTTAAAACGGTGACACATAAGTTATTGTGACTTGGCAAAGCCTAGCATTATTTTTAGTCCATCACTGCGTAATAAATATTTATATTTGATATTATTTTTTCTATGTTTGTATCATTTTATTTTGTTTTACCTATTGAGCCTATGTACTTTTATGTTACTCTATCATGCTTTTCATATTTTTTTATATACACCCCTGGCATTGTTTTCTGTATGTCGTTTATGCATTAAGAAAAAAAAAGACATTTATAATGTTTTTTTAAAGGATCATATGACATGATATGAATTGAGTTAAACTCTATCTACTAAGAAAACTGCATTTTAAATGTAATAATATTTCACAATTTAGCTTTTTTTTCTCTTAAACCCATTTGATTAAACAAATGCAGCCTTGGTGAACAGAATAAGAAACTTTTGAGAGAAAAAACATCCATTGTCAACATTTTGACCAGTATTTTTAGTCTGGTATATGTATATTGAAGTCATCAAAATTTCAGTTTGCTTAATTTTATATCCCTTGTCCTAATTGTGATAAAACAATGGTGTGTGTGCGTGTGCGTGCGTGTATGTGTGTGTGTGTTTTTTTTTTTTTTCAGTCATGCAAGAAAATAAAACGTTTTTGTATTCTAGTGGTCTGAAAAACCAAATCACCATATGCAAAACAGTGAGTCAGAGCTTCTACAATGTACCAGAAGAGGACGGCTGAATCAGATTAGAGATTACTTAAAAAAAAAAAAAAAAAGTACCACTGTGGTAAACAAACACAGTCCGGAATATTAAAATGAATTTTAGACATATTTTTTTTTTTTAAGTGGAATTTAAAAATCACACCTAAAATTACAAATGCTGTTTCACATGTAGGAGATGTTATCCTCATTAGAGCAATTTTGTGTTATTTACGACTGATACCTCCACACGATCATTTAGCTATTTTGCATGGTCATGTACATCAGGAATGGGTTGCCCAGTTCTGAAGCTCTCTGTGAATATACCAAGTCTTTAATACACATATCAAAGTTCCTGGCACGTCTCTCATCAGCACTCAACCCCAGGCGTTTTATTACAAGTGGTTCCAGAACTCTGTCTTGTACACAGAAGCACATAAAAGCAATTATCATAAGCAAAGCCGTTTTTGCTAGACAGAATTCTATAGGATTGGAGCAGTCTACATGAAGTTCTGTGCACTCATGTCCATTGTATTGACTTCAGTTATTGCTAGAATAGGCATGTCTGCGGTCTATTAGTCTGACCACTTTGACTAGGTCAAATGAGAACAAACACTTTGAGTCAAGCTGTTTTCTTGACAAACTTTTGACTTTGATTTTAACCGTGACACCAAGGCTTGAACTTTTCCTATGGTGGCTAGTGGCTTTCCAAAGTTGCTAGCCACTTGCAATTTTCAAAATTGATTGGGAAATTGATTTACACAATATGAAGTTGACTGTTGACTGAATGAAAAAAACGATAAACATTGATATCAACTTTGTGAAGCTAAAGTGGAATTTATCTCTATATATCTGTCCATCCACTCATCCATCTTTTATCCATCCATCCATCCATCCATCCATCCATCCATCCATCCATCTTTTATTCATCCATCCATATTTTATTCATCCATCCATATTTTATTTATCCATCCATCCATCTATCTATCCATCCATCCATCCATCCATATTTTATTCATCCATCCATCCATCCATATTTTATTTATCTATCCATCCATCTATCCATCCATCCATATTTTATTCATCCATTTAAATTTAATTAATTCGTCCATATTTTAGTCATCCATCCATATTTTTTCATCCATCCATCCATATTTTATTTATCCATCCATCCATGTTTAATTAATCCATTAATTGTTTATTAATTCATCCATATTTTATTAATCCTTCCTCCATTTATATTTTATTCATCCATCCATATTTTTTAATCTGTCTACCATCCATATTTTATTCATCCATCCATCCATTCATCTATCTGTCCATATTTTTAATCTATCCACCCATTCAGTTTATTCATCCATCCATATTTTTAATCCATTCACCCATCCATATTTTATTCATCCATCCATCCATTGATCTATCCATATTTTTCATCCATCCACCCATCCATATTTTATCCTTTCATCCATCCATATTTTGTTCTAACATCCACCCATCTATATTTTATTCATCCATCCATATTTTATTCATCCATCCATCTTGTATTTTATTTATCCATCCATATTTTATTCATCCATCTATCCATATTTTTTCATCCATCTATTTATCCACTTTTTATTCATCCATCCATGCATCCATCTGTATTTTATTAATCCATCCATATTTTATCCATCCATCATCCATATTTAATTAATCCATTTATATTTTATTCATTCCTCCATTTTTTGTTAATCCACCCACCTGTCTATTTTATTCATCCGCCCACTTGTCCATATTTTATTCATCCATCCAACTATCCATTCGTCCATCCATCCATCTTTTATTCATCCATCCATCTATCCATCCGTCCTTTTATTTTATTTATCCATCCATCCATCTTTTATCCATCCATATTTTATTTATTTATCCATATATCTATCCATCCTTTATTCATCCATCCATCAATTCTTATTAGCCATCCATTCTTTAACATTTTATTCTTTCACACCCCCATCCATTCATCAGCATTACTTTGTCCATCCATCTGTCAGTATCATATTATTCGTCCATCCATTTCTCTTTCAGTTTTATTGTTTGTCCATGTCCATCCATCAGTATATCTTTTATTCATCCATTTGTTTATCAGTATCGTTTTATTTGCCCGTCTGTCTCTTCATCAGTATCATTTTATTAGCCGACCTGTCTGTCCATCAGTATTGTTTTATTCTTCCGTTTCTTCGTCAGTATCATTTTATTTGCTCGTCTGTCCGTTCATCAGTATCTTTCTATTCCCCCATCCTTCCATCCGTCCATCAGTATTCTTTTATTTATCTATCCATCCATCCATCTGTCCATCAGTATCATTTTATTCATCCAACTGTCCTTCGATCAGTATCATTTTATTCATCCATACATGTATCAGTATCATTTTATTCGCCCATCCAGCCGTCCATCTATTATTTTCGCCAAATCTTGGTGCTTCCCTAGTTAGATATTTGTTTAGTCGGTCCACTAAAATGCTTCTTTTACCCTTTTAAAAACCCAGAACCCTTTGTCTAGAACAATTCTTAATGTCAATCCCTGTTTAAAAAATTATGTAACCCATTAAATTGGCTATTGTTGTCTTTTTGCCCATTGATTAGAGAAGTTGGCCTTTCTACCTCTGGCAAAGTGGGTCATAATGTAAAGTCTGTCTACAACAAAACTGTTCCTTGTTTTCATTAACTTGTCTGTATTTTATTTTTCAGGCCATCTTCACATTGTTACTGGGACCCTTTACCTTTTTCAATGCTCAGAAGACCAAATACCTTCAGATCCTCACCTCATTAATGAGATGGATAGGTAAGCTCTGTCTTTCTTTGTATCTATTGATTTGATTGTATCTATTGTTCTTTATTTCTGTCTTTCTCTGTCTTTCTTTCTCTTTCTCGGTCTTTCTTTCTTCCTTCCTTCCTTCCTTCTTGCCTTCCTTCCTTCCTGCCTTCCTTCCTGCCTTCCTTCCTTCCTTACATCCTTCCTTCATTTCTTTCTTTCCCTTGCTTTTTTTTCTGTCTTTCATTTTGTTTTTATAATCAATTCACCTTATCTAGTTATCTCAAATGTGTGCCATCATGGTTAGCACATTGTTCCTCTTCTCTGCAGTGTAGCCCGAGTCTGTCCATCATAAATTCGTCCTGCTTCATGTCTCCGCCTTCTGTCTCCCTCATACTTCAGCCTGACAGCCTAGACGGGCCGTCTCAGGCGTGATTGGGCAGTCACTTACCAGACGACAGGCCCAAAATAAAACCGCACATCCTCATCTGCAGTTCAAATCACAGCCGCACTAAATCCAACATGCAAACTATGAATAACATGTAATGTTGGTGCACATATTAACAATGCGTGAAATAGAAATAAATTATAATCCATTTTTAAAAATGATCTTCGTCATATTGACTCGCAATGAATTATAATTGAGAGTCAGTGGAGGTTGGATATGTTTCCTAAAACAGATCACAAAAAATAGTTTTTGTAGCTTTCAGTAATGTTTGTAAAGAAGTGCTATGCAACATTGTGTAGCTATTACCCGAAAATAATGCATCAAGAAATGTGTAGACAGGCTTTGGAAATCTGCATCCATATTTCTGCCATCTGTTTTTAATGAATTTGGACATTTAAGGGCGCTATAACCTAAGGGGTGAAGTAGCTCATCCTGCTTGCTTCAGCAACATATAGTGCTGAATGCAGGTGATGAACTTCATAGCAGTGCTGTTATTTCTCAGACTGTTAATCTGGAAAGTATTCCTGCTCTATTAGTCAGTTGAATCAATATGGGCTCATTTGCACAGTGTATGTATTATGTATGATTCCACTGGATCGTTAAAGACATCACTGGTGTAGCTGGTCACCATTTGCTTTGTGTTGCAATTTTTTTGTTTCTGGGAGAAATATATCATTGGGGCCCTGGAGCAAAATGGCCATCTTTTTGTATGCGTGCTGCTCTTATCTTTTTCTGTTCCTACTTTTTTTTTTCTTCTCTATTCCAAACCTCAAGAGAGCTGAAGTAATTATTTGATAATGCATTCTCATTTTTAGCCTACAGTGTGATTTAGAGCCATTCAGATCTAGAATGAGGGTATCAGCGAGTCCTTAACGTATTAAAATGCTTTAAATTTATATTTTAGCTTTATGAGTGTAGAAATGATTGCATATCTGCCATAGTATAGAAGCTTGTTTTTTTTACCATTAAAAATACATTTAATACATTTTTGAGAATCTTATTTTGTTACCAATCCCTAAAATACTTTCGGTATCAACACAGATCACACTTGTTTCACTTTATATTTGTTATGATACTGGAATTCATTTATATTTACATTTTTTTTATTATTTACTTGTTTATTGCAGCATTTCCCACTTCTTAGATTTTACTTGGGTGGGTCGCCCTGGTACAGTGCATCCGGAAAGTATTCATAGCGCTTCACTTTTTCCAAACTTTTTTTTTTGTTGCAGCCTTATTCCAAAATTGATTAAATTTATTTCCTCAAAATTCTCCACACAATATCCCATAATAACATTAAAAAATGTGAAAAAAGTTAAGCGCTATGGATACTTTTTGGATGCACTGTATATTAACGGCCACCCAAGTATATTTGGTGACATTTTATTTATTTATTTTTTATTATCATTTTATTATTTTACCCTTTTTTTTTTTTTACATTTATTTATTTTTTCGTCCACTCAATAGCCAAACATCCGCTATCGAATAACTAGTGGAAAATCTTCTCTAGCCTTACACAGTTTCTACTTCTCGCTGTGTGTGCGTGGAATCTGACAAGACTCCACGGTCAACAATCTCACATGCTCGGCAGAGACCCAATGAGGCGTGCCATTTTGAGACTTAATGCATCCGGTTGGTTTTTCTAAATCCCCTAAATTGTCCGGGATTTGACTTTTGGTTTCGCTTTCTAAGCCGTCGTTAATTGTATGTGTTTTTGCATTGCATCTTTATTTTAGGCCTGATTTACTTTCGCTTGGCTTCGCAGCTGACAGCGAGTGCACAGTCGCAAGACTAAGAGAAACATTATAATAATTAATTCTTTGATCTAAACAATTCAGATAAATGTTTCTGTATACTCAGAGAGGACGGAATTACATCTAAACTAGCTGCAAAATATATGTACACTGTTAGAAATGGTTATTCAACTCTATCCGGCTACCACCGCAAATATATTTCAAACCTGTGGGAAGCACTGTATTGGTTTACCAAATTTAAATAATATATAAAGTATATAATTATCAATTATAAGATTACCCATCTGTCTATAAATATTTTCAACTGCTTCTCATACGAATTAAGATATAAAATCTATATTATATTTAGATATTCTACAAGAGTAGTTTACATTACAAACTGTTTTTCAGTCATTCTTATTAATCCTATAGGAAGAACCAAATTGATTTAAGGCAAAACATAAAACAGGCCCTAATTGTAAGTCGGAGGAAAAAAAACAGACAGACAGAAGATATTTAGCAATAATCAAAGGTTGTAGTTCATTTTCTGTAATTATCATAATATAAATACTCTCAGTTTCTAATTAGTTTAGCAATTATCTCATTCTATCAGTTAATGAAACAGATGTCAGAAGTCAGATGAAAGACTTGCCACAGATTAAAGCATGCACTGGTATTTATCCAATGAGGTGGAAATCAGGTAGAGAAAGCACCCTGTCTCTTATAAAGCGTGTTTAGTTTGCTGTAAATTTCAGCAGAGATGTTATTATGGCCAACATTTGCATTGAATATAAAGTGCCTTTTTATTCTGTAAGCAGTCTTGAATGACAAGAAAAAATAGTGTTTATTTATTGCACTGTTCCCTGGAATACTTGATTCTGATTGGCAGTCGCTTTGAAAGCTGATTTACCACATACTGGTGCTACTTTCATGTTCTTTAATTTAACTCCATTGCCTCTTTTAACCCTTTTAAAACAATAATTGGATCTCAAATCAATACTTATGCATTCAATTCATTTGGTAGAGTGGTAGTAATAGCAGTTATAATATACAGTCAGGTACTCATTATCGTAAAACAGGGGTGTCCAAACTAGAGGGCCGGTGTCCTGCATAGTTTAGCTGCAACTTCCTTCAACACACTTGCCTGGTGTTTTTCTAGTATAGCTTGATCAGCTTGTTCAGGTGTGTTTGATTGGGGTTAGAACTAAAATATGCAGTAATAAAATTTTATTTTATTATTGAAATGATTTCATTATTTATTATTGATTTTTATATAATAACTTAATTAAATTATTTATTTAGTAATTAACAAAGCTATATTCGGCATGATCAAGCTCTGAATGTAACATTAAAATGCCAGATTGTAAGGAGCAATTATAAAGACTTCTAATTCTAAAAGGAAATGTTTGTTTGTAAAGTTTAAATAAAAATGTCTTGAAAGCAAAAATGTTTATATAAACTTATTAGAACGGCTTTTAGTTCAGAGCCTCAGAGGACAAGCTTTAAAACATAGTTCTACCATCGTGATTACCGCCGTGATCTAATTCAAATAAATAGTTAAAATATTGGTGTCTGGGATGCAGCTAGTTTAGAGACTAAAGTGAACATAGCTTATGAAAGATTTACAGTTCACTATAATGTGTGATAGGACTAAACAGTGGTCCTAAATTGCTTCTAAAAGAGCGTATTCTCAAATCAAATGACTGTACAGGCTTGGACCCAGAAAAAGTACTTCTTTTGTCACAAGTTAAAGGGTTAGTTCATGCAAAAAATGACACTTTTGTTATTTACTAGACCCCATTTTTGTTATTTATAGACCTCATAAAACAAAAATAACCACTTTATTCAACAATTTCTTCTTCTCAGTGTCAGTATAGGGTGCACATTCATGAGAGCATTAAGTTATTTATGCTGAAAAGCCTTAGAGGACAAGCTTTAAAACATAGTTCTACCTACGTGATTAACGTCATAGATTACCGTTGTGATCTAATTTGAATAAATAGTTAAAATATTGGTGTCTGGGATGCAGCTAGTTCACAGACTGAAGTGAACATCATAGCTTATGAAAGATTTACAGTTCACTGTATTGTGTGATAGGATAAAACAGTGGTCCTAAACTGCTTCTAAAAGAGAATATTCTCAAATCAAATGACTGTAGAGGCTTGGACCCAGAAACCGTACTTCTTTTGTCACAAACGAAAGGGTTAGTTCATGCAAAAAATTAAATAGTTATTTATTAGACGCCATATACCCCATAAAACAAAATAACCACTTTATTCAACAATTTCTTCTCTCCTGTGTCAGTATAGGGTGCACATTCATGAGAGCACTGTGTTCTTTATGTGTGTCATGCTCGTTCACCTGCTGATGCATACCCCGGATGCTCTTGTGCCTTGTGTATCGATCATGGGACATCTTGCTTGACACACACCACACAGTGCTCATGAATATACTGACGCAGAGGAGAATAAACTGTTGAATTAAGTTGTTTTTGTTTTACATGCACACAAGTATTTTCATAGCTTGATAATAATGCATTTGAGCCACTGAATGCATATGGTCTGTTTTGAGGATCTACCAGTCAAGAACTTTGCTGTCTATGGAGGATGAGGGAGCTCTCCAATTAAATCTAAATTGAATTAATTTGTATTTCAAAGCTAAATGAAGGTCTCAGGGGATTGCAACCTCTTGAGCAGGGGTCTCAAACTCGAGGCCCTCAGTGCAATATTTTGTGGCCCGCGCCGACCGCTGTACTCTGACAGAATCAGCGGAGCGGGGAGAGAGAGCGCTCCCCGCTCCGCTGATTCTATCCGTACACAGCGCGCTTGTCACTCAATGCGCGTTGTCGC